GTCACTTGCCATAGGGTCCCATTTAAAATTTTTGGTCACAGTGGCCTTGTGACGTCATTTATGACTATTGCGTCACCTGTTATGACCAGTTAAGAAGCCTACATCCGTTTATTTCCACCCTCCAAATTTCATTATTATAAGTATACCCGTTCCAAAGATACGAGGGGGGGAGGGGACTTTTGACTAGCACTGTATACTTCAACAACAGTTAAAGTTGAAAAACAGTTTCATTTGCCTTAGTAAATAAATGAACATGCTGTATGGAATACCATCTAGCCCTGGTTCTGTTATTTTTTACATATCAGAGATTTTTCTAATTCCATTGTAGTGAACAATTCTGATTCAGTTGTATTACTTATCAAAGTAAATTCCTGATCCATATCGCATTTAGAATATTTAATCAGCAGTTGTACAGTTATTTTTGTTGTTGGTGAATTATTTTTGTCACCTCTATTCATTTTTTGTCTGGAAAACTTCTTGTCATGTTCCATACATATGGTATAGTCGACTATACAGTATGTCTCACTTCTTATGGAAACACCACCGTATCTTCCGGAATATTCGAGGTGGAACGATGAAACTCTCAGGACTGATGGAAATGCTCAAAATACACCCACCACCTGAATGGGGTTGGCCAAAGTGATATACACTGTCCGCCACTCGCGATGGAACACCCCATTTTTAGGTAAAACATATTACGACGCAAAATAGTTCGCTTCCAATACCTAAACCCCTTCATTCTATCTGGAGAGTACTCTCAGGTATGAAAGATACAGATGCTGTGAGATGCTATCATCCATTTTGAGCCTTTCTGAGGAAAATGTCACAGCACCACATTCTCAGATTATTGAGATAGTGTGAAGCAGTGTATGAAAAATTATCGATGGCGGCATCTATTATAACTGAAGAATTCGTAAAACTAATTCTGGTTGCTGAACATCCAAATTCTATCCCAACCAGAAGTGAGAGCTCTCGATTGATGAGCAAAAACTGCAAAAAATGTAAAAAATCTATATTCAAAGGTTCACATCTCGAAAACTGTACAATTTTGAGCTTTGGCTGTGGACACTTTCAATCAGTACATCAAGAACTACAACATATCAAAATTTCGGCAAAATTCAAGGCAAGCCATTTCTCATAAGAAATGTGCGGGGTCTTTTATCAACATATCGAGGAAACATTTTACCATCCGAAACAAAATTAATCTTCATACTGATTGCAACACCGAAACAACTGTTAATTTTTAAAGAAAAAATCGCACTCGGTGAACAGGTAGAATTTAGATTATTTCACCTACTTGCTGAATTATTGTCTGAAATCATTTGAAGGAATTGAATTACATCAGTTTCATTGAATCATGCGGTGTCTTGAAATCATCATGGAAAACAGTTACTCATTGATATTTACTGTCAACCTGACAATATTGTTGAAATATCTTGTTGTATCAACCCCCAGACCAGTTTTCATTGCATTTGTTGTTTCTAGTATTGTGGTTCTTTGAATCACCGTTGTTCCTGTTGTTTCTGCCGTGTTTTTGTTCCCATTGTGCTTATTATTCCTGTATTTGTGTTGGATATTGTTCCAGTTGTTTTCTGTTCATAAGTTCCTGTTCATATTTTAATATTTC